TTTTGACAAATAATTTTTTTTAAAAAAAGTAGTAGCCATTTAAAATTAGTGGCTGTCTTTAGCTTGTACGCACTATAGTAAATAATTCATGCTAATCAGTCTAAATTAAAATAATAAAAATATATAACTCAATATAATGTACAACATGTACTTGGAACAAAAAATTAAAAAAATAACTTTTATTAACTCCAAAACATCGCACTTCTATTGGCTATCGCGATTACTTCTCTTAATAATACAAATAATCTACGAAAAACGAATACTGAAACTACAGTTTTTAATCATACTTTCTGTTTAATACCCATGCTACGTAAGCCATACGCTGGAATAAATTATAGAAAAAATTTTGGCTCATCACCATCCTTTGAACCAACTTCATAGGCAGATATTTGTCTAATTGGCTAATCAAGCTTAATCAGTTATTTATAAGTTATTAGCTTCGTTATAATTAGAACAAAAAATTACATAATTTTCCAGAGTGGTTCATGGTCACGAAAGTAACGAACGATGGTGAGTAGTAAATGATTGTAAACAAAGTAACGAACGACGATAAATAGTAAATGATTGAAAAATGGTTGTTTATTACATGAAGACATCATCACCTCTTGATACGAAATGCATAATAGGTAAGGATATCATAAAAGCCTATACAAAACTTTGCAATATATAATTAGAAATAATAATAAGTATGCGACAATGAACAAATTCATGTGCTAAAATGCAGAAAAAAAGATCAAAAAAGAAAGAAAAAAAAGAGAGAATAGAAAGAAATGTAAGCCATTCGTAATGGAGTCTGTTGGTATGTCTACGAGTTATCAGCATGACAAAAAAGTGTTCATGAAGGAGTAAAGAAACTAAAGCCTCTTCGTGCTGCTTCTTATTTACCGCACTGAAATGTCATTATAGAAACTTTCAAAACCAGTGTTATTACCATTGTTAGTATTACTCGAGCTACCATTAGGCATATTAACGATATTCCCACTGTTAGGATCGATAATCGGTATTGATTTTGTCACTTTAGCTGGAGTCGTCAGGGATTGATATGTCATTGTTGGTGAATAATTACCGCCATAAGGAAATGGAGATTCAGGACGCGAGAAAAAAGATGGAATTGAAACTTGTGAGGTAGAAGAAGCGGATGAATTCGATGATTTTAAAGGAATTATATTAAGAGGAGTTTTGTTCGTTGGGTCAATAATTGGTATGGGTCGCTTATGTTGTGGCGGCGTCGTATTTGGTTTAGATTGGCCATTTGTGACAAATTGAGAAACTTGACGACGAATTTCGGCAAGCTAAATAAATGACAAAGCCATTATATAGACGTGTAACATATTATGAGAAAAGTACAAGTTTTTATTAGAGACCTTTACACACCTCTTCTGCTGACAGCGAAGGACAAAATTCGAGGTCATCTTCAAATCCTTTGGCAGCTTCTTGACGATTCCTATAATTTTCTAGACGTGCGGCTAGACAAATCAACTTTATCTTAGTATAAATTTCCAAAACAAGCAAAGAACTTTATTAAATATACATAGTTAAAATGTATATAGTTAAACCTTGCGCAGGGTCAAGGTCTTCGAGTTGCGCCATATCTATAACATATATTCTTATGTTAAATATATTTATTAATATGCTCGTTACAATACGAAATTTCTTTTACAATAACTAACTCTTTTACCTGTGGAAGCAGAATTTTTTTTTTTTTTTTTTTTTTTGTTTTTTTTTTTTTTAATTTTTTTTATGTATTTTTTTTTTTTTTTTTTTTAAATAGTATATTTGGGGGACGTCTAAAGCCATGTCCAGTCACGTGTTTTTTGTTTTAATTAAAATTAGGTTAAGGGTTAGTTTGGGGTTAAGGTCAGGGCATGTCTTATAGTAAAATTGTCTTCCCGAC